GGCACGGCACCACAGGGTTTGGGACATCCCCTGGGGCAGCTGGGATCTGCTGTCCTGCCTGGTCCCCTCCCAGCTTCTTGTGCACCCCCAGCCTCCTCAGGGCTGGGCTGAGGAGCAGGAAAGGCCTTGGCTCTGGGCAAGCTCTGCTCAACAGGATCTAAAACATCCCTATGTTATCAACATGTTTGTGTTTCCAGCACAGATCCAAAACATAGCCCTATATTGGCTACTGTGGAGAAAATAAACTCTACCCCAGCCAAAAGCAGCACACTAATGTAGCTTGTAGTAAAGTGTTTAATAAAGTACAGTATCAGAAACAATAGTCTATTAGAAAAGCTCAAAAGGTGAATACCGTATATATTGTACTTACTACATTTTCATTTTAGAAGTGAAGGATCCAGCAGAGAGAGAAACAACACAGAAAGGGATTTTTGTCAGTTTTGAAACAGAGATGTGCAGTTTGAAAATACCTTTCTCACCAGGAAGAAAGCAAGCACTATGATTTACTAATTATGGCTAAACACACAGCAGTGCATGTCAGGTCCTAATGTGCTCCAAGTGTTCCCTGCAAAATAAGGACTGATCTGTGGTGCAGACTGGAACTTGCGTCACTTGGTTTGATTTTATTTCGAGTAAGTCACAGCCCTTTAGGAATGCAGGGTGATTCATCAGGCTGGCTGTGTTTCACTGCCTGGTTCTGAAAGGTGTGATATACTGATAGATGTTCATTCCATGTACCATATATTTGAAGCATTCAAGTAATAAGTTTAGTGGGCTTGGGCAGGATGGAAAGTGAATTTAGTTTGAGGACCCGCAGCTGTGATTTCTGTTCTATTTGTCAGAGGCTTGCTCTGTTCTCAGCTACTCATCAGGCTGCTTCAGTTATCTCCATGTGTACCCCCAGGGATGCACAGCAGCAAGCTAAGCACAGAACAAGTCCAAGAACATGCATACTCTGAAATACAATCAGGTCATACCCATTGTTGGGTTTTTGTTTTCCTAAGTTATATCACTGATACTTTGTTCAAGCTATAAAATTTGCAAAACTGAGAGGTTAACAAATATCACCACACACTGTTTGTAATCACTGGTCACTAGTTGATGACATCTGCCCTTTGGTACCAGACTCATGAGAGGATAAAGTAAGAAACTAACTCCCAATGAAAATTGAAATTATTCTTCTATTACTCATCATATTGACAGGAGAAGAAAATTTGGGGTCTTTTTTAATGTAGTCATTGGGGAAGGACAGTTTCTCCTTTTTTGTTTTCTTCAAGTGCACCTAGGTCACTACCACTTCCCCAGCTGTAAAGATCTACGGTTAGTTACCATCCTCCCGAGCTCTGTCATAAATCCAAATTTGGGAAAAAGTTTTCTTTTCCCAGGTTATGGTCACATAAGAAAGGAAGTCAGAAGCTGTTGCAGAATGCAAATGAGATCTATAGGGACATAAAGAAATTTGGATCTTGGGAACAATAGCAAATAATAATGAACAAGAGAGTTTAGATGAGAACAAATGCACTGATTAAAAGCAACATTAATTCTTTTTTCCTAATTGTTTTCTCTATAGAGTTTCTAAGGGACTATTTGTCAGAGGGAGCTTACATTGATTACATTTTTGAATACAGTTTTTACCTAAAAAAAAAATCACCATTAGTGACTGATAGTGCAATTCAATGATTCACATCAGGATGTGTATGAGCAGGCAGTGATGATGTATTCTGTGAATGCTAGAAAACATTCACTGGCTTATGTTTCATCAATTTGCAAGGAGTTATGCTGTTACACCTCAGTGCCATCACGTTCACTTAATACTGATTATCAATAATGCTCAGTTGACAATTTACATTTTGCAGGGATTCCAGAGTTTACTGCAGTTAGCTGAGGAACATTGCTCAAATCTCCCCCTCTTCAATCTCCAGCTGTGGGGAAGGAAATGACCCAAGAAGTGACTTAACACAGACCTTTGTGCTGTGCAGGCAGTGCTCTGAGTCAGTATCTCCATTCACTGGCAGGCAAATTCCAACCTCTGCATCAAATATCAATTTTTAACTGTATCAATCTTAGAGATATCATAAGTTTTTAAAAAAATCAGAGAAAGGATAACCTCAATTATGAATGAAGAATCTGTAAGTAAAGAGTACAGGGCTTTCCTGGAGTTCCTCTACTCAACTGACTGCTGCAGGTGATAGGTCTAAGGCCTTACATCTTCTGGGACTCTGTTTGAAATTTACCTTTCTAAATGCTTCTTTACCGTTGATCTTGCTTCATCAGTTCTTCATACATAAAGTTATCCATGCACTTAAAGATAAAATACCTCATAAACCATTCTTCCAAAACTTTGTTAGTTGAGGAAGAACAATGAAAATGACGTTTTTTTGGTTTTGGGGTTTTTTTATTCTTTGGGAAGTACCAAATTCTCAGCTAATGCTAGCATATATAGGCCAAAAAAAAAAAAGTTCTCCAAAGATAATACTGCTCAGCACAGAACAGGGGTCAGTAATCAGACTACAGGCTTGATATTCAGAGATACTGAGATGAAATAGATTCTTTAAGTCTTTCTGAAAAGCAGGGCCCATGTTCCTAAAAACATCTCTAGCTGTAAACTTCCCTTTCCATAATGACTTGAATAACTTTCTTTTTTTTCTTTAGAGAAAGCAATTGCTATTTACACTTGTTATCAGGATATTCACATCAGGAATTCAAATAATTATGCATGCACAATCATCAAATGGTGCAAAGAGAATGTTCACACATGCTGAAGAAGAGAATACAGCTCTGTAATATGGAAGGCGATTGTAATGTCAAAGATTTATCAGTTAGCTAAGGACACAACAGTCCAAGTTACAGAATATTGCATAAAGAAATAAAAAAGGATTTAAAAAAAGGTGTTAGTATTTAAAACCAAAATTAATGAATAGAAAATAATATTAAGATTAATGAAAACTTTAATGGGTAAGTTATTTTCAATATTTTATTTTGAGAACTATGAACTATTTTCTAATAATGCCCTTTACATAGTTGCATCTATAGAAAGCTTGTTGAATGAAAGCAAAAAAATATAGCATAAAAAGAAAATTTCCATCAGAAATGATTGGTTTTGCTACAAAATTAACCAAACACAAACAATAAATCAAAGAAAGCATTACAGAAATAGTTACCTTATCAAATAGAAATTCAGTGTCAGAATTTGGTGTTTAGGGTTGATTTGTGAATGTAGGAAAATACAGTATGCAGAAAGTGAATGGAGCACTACAGCTCTTCATTTCTGTCTAGAGTTGTCAGTACAATGTAAACAGAGCATTTCTAATGATATCCTCAAATTAACAGATCAGAAGTCATTGAGCCAGGACTGGGGGAAACTAGACTAGACTTCTACAGGTTTGGCAGCCACTAGCTTTTTACAGGCTGCCATAGATGCGTTTAATGACATCAGCCTCTTCCTTGTCCAGGATGCCCTTGTCCACATAAGCATCAGCTTGCTGATCAATGAAATCTCTCAGCTTTGAAAGATCATAATCTGAAAAACAAGAATTCATTTGCACAATGAGTCATTGCCATTATACTGTTTCACCTAAGAAACAATGTCATTGTAAAGTTTATCCAACCCATGCACTTTATCAAATATGAAGAGAATTCTCTCTGAGTGCAACTTGTGAAAACATTAAACAACCCAAAACAGCTGCACACAGTCTTTTTACACACCACGGTGCTTTTATTATCCAAGAGCAATAATCATCTCTTGCTCTTGATTGATTGCTGCCAAATGCTAAAGCAAGAATATTTTCTGGTCCAGGGATTTGATGTTCTAGTCTGCACAGCAAAAGCTGTTGTGTCCTATAATTTTCACAACTGTCATGGAATCAAAAGAAAGTATTAAATGGACTACTTCCAGTGAAATTGAAATCCCAGTAAAATTCCCACTTACTACCACTGTAGTGGAAAGTCATGAAAGCAACTCCTTGAAAATAGATCAAAATAATATAATTATTTACCTTGATACAGTACCTAATATTCTGGTTTGAAAACTATTGCAGTGAGCAGCCTTTGTGACAGTGTTAGTGTCAGTTTTTGACAATCTTCCACTGTCAATCTGCAACAGAGTGCTGAAAGATCCTGCCTCCTTTTCCAATAGGTAAGTGCATCTGTGCAGCCTGATTCACATCACATGCATTAAATAGACTTTTCCTATGCTGGAAAACATCACTATTTTCCATGAAAAGAATTCTACTGCAAAGAAATTTGTCAAATAACACAGAAAAGTAACCTATTGTATAGTTGTGATTCTGGAAGCAGATTCAGTATATTTACATATAAACACAATAAAGTTTCAGTTACATAATTAGCTGCATAAATGTAATGCTCAATTTGCTAGAATCAGAAGAACATCAATGTTTTAAGGGTTCATACTAAGTAAATGAATTAGTACTTTCATAAGAATGAATACATTCTGAATTTTTCAGTATAAATTACTTATTCCACAGATGGAGCCTTCAGAATAGATTAAAACTGATTTTGCAATGTCCAACATTGTATAACATCACACTGCAATACATGGAAGAACCTTCTTTCAAATTGTGCATTCTTAACAAAATAGACAATAATGAATTTGTGGTTTTTTAGGTTTGAAAAATTGACCAAAATGGGATAGAAATAAAAAGATATTAAGAAGCAAATTGATGCTTGAGATAATTTTTATAAAAGCATAAGGCAATTTCAAATGAGTAATACAGAAAATTGATATTCAACACTCCCCACTCCTGCAGAGGTGTCCTCTCCATATCTGAGGTAGCAGGAATTTTGCCATTTGCTGCACAGAGGTGAGGATTTCCTGTCTGGCCTGTTATTGTTATTACTTAAGAGAATGTAACCTGCTTGTGTCTCCATCCTGTATGAGTAATAGGGACAAATAATAGTGCCAAGCAATTTCATAATTGGGATGAGAGATTTCATTCATGTTGACAGAATGGGAGTCTCCAGTGAGATACCAAGGAATGGAAATGAATGAAGAACAAATACTAAATGGATTTAATATCCACATTTTTCACATTAAAATCTCTGTGCTTATTTTACTTCTAGAATACTGTTTCTAACTCTAAGATTATTATGTGGATATGTGAAGATTTAATTACTAAACATCCTGTGTAGGATTACAACCATTATGATATTATCCAATTCGGGGTAATTTGTATATCTCACAGCAATTTAAATTGGGTTTTTTTTCCTAGAAATTGATAACTGCCAATTTCTGATACTTATTTAGAATCTATTGTAATTAGAAAAATCAGCTTTGGGTGCTGATTCACTGCAACAGCTGCAGCATTACATGGAGCTGTGAAACAGCTCCAGTAAATGAAGTGAGCTCTTATTTGCATATTCAGATCAAGCCACTTGCCCTTGAAATTAATGATAGGATTTACTTTCATTTCTAAATGGCTGCTGTTAGTGTTATGAAGCTCTGAACTACCTAAACAATCCACACATGCTCTTTGCATTTATGGGTTAAATGCTCAGTTCTGCAATGGTTCTGAGCCTCAAGCCAGGTCTGGGAGATGTGAAGGACAGGCCCATGGAGCCTGTGGGTTGTAAAAAGGCAAAACTAACCTTGGACACAAGAGACAAAGAGCCCAAAATCCAGGCTTTTGGCATGTTTATCTTTAAATCATCCCAGCCACTCAAGCTTACCAGCCTCCTTAATAGGCAATTGATACTTTCAAACTGCAGAAATGCAAATCAACATTTCCAGCATTACTAGTCATTGAATGAATAATATCTACTGAAATTCATACAAAATGAAGAACCCTCAAACATTTGCCTGAAGAAAACCTAAACCTCTTCAAGGATATTTGGTGAGTAAACCAATCCATGAGTAGGGCTGGGAAAGTCTGGCCATTTTAATACATGAATTACTTTGAGAATCGCTTCTGTGCCAGCCTCCAGGTGCCAGCTGGAAGTGGAGAAATGATTGATGAGCACAGCAACACCACCTAATCTTGCACTGAAGAAACACTGCAATGCATTCACGGTTAGATAAGCTTACCCTGACTGTACTTCTTTTAACATCATCCCAGGGGAACTGAATTAGCATTTTACAAAAATAAGGAGCATGGAAAGGTACAATAAAGATGATATATCAGGAGAGTAAGAATACTATTCTAATTTTATCATAACTTACACTCACTTTAAGGCCTATTTCCATTGCTAGAGGACAATAAAGATATTTTAGTGCAAATGAAAATCCATCTACACAGATATATATATATCTTAATGCATTCACAGGCAGATAAAATGCTATTGATCTGCAGTCGTAGCCATTTTCAGACTGCAGCAGTGCAGAAGAAAAGATTACTAGAAAGAGGAGCGAGGGGCTGCTCAGGCAGTATGTGTGATACAGAGATAATCACACATGATGGAGATCTAATTACATCAGTGAGTTCATTGCTAAACGGAACAATTAATTAAAATTGGCAGGAAAACTCTCGAGCAAATATGTAGGCCTGCTGCTAACTGCCATGGCTGCCATTGTGTGTGGAAAGGATTTGAGAGATAGGAATTGTTTTTAACAGTCTTTTCTATTAGAGTTTCTGTACAGAAAAATGAATGTGTTGGGCTGTAGGCATGCACTCATCTCTGAAATGGAATTCATACACACTTCAATTCACAGAGAGGATGGATAGGTTACCCTGGGCTAATCTCATCTCAGACCGCCCTCTGCTTGGCTGGTGCAAGAAGGATCCTTCTTGCCAGGAGTCAGTCATAACCCAGGGATGGAACCCCTGGCTAGGAACCTTCACTTCCAGAGCAGGCAATGGCAGAACACACAGCCATGCAGATAATAGGGATAGGAGGCTGGTTTTATGTCAGAACATGAAGGAAAAAGATGCATGGATAAATAAAGATCTGTGAAAAATAAAGGAGAAATCCTGCTACTGTTCAGTCCCTGCCAGCAGCTCTCACACAGCCCTGCCCCTGAGGAAGAGGCAAATGGTGGGACAGCTGGTGAGCAAACCCTGTACAGCTGCTTCAGTCCCTTCCACACAGCTTTGCATGTGAGAGCTACAAGTCACTCGAGTTCATTTGGGCTGTAGTCCAACCTATTACAGTGCTACTGACATGAGTTTGTATCTCAACTGTTCCTGGTTGTGGAACAAGACTCGTTGGTATTGGTGCAGGCATGCTAGCCAAATGCACCCTGCTCTAGACATGTCCAGACATTTCAAATACATCTATCTCACCCACAAAGTCACAACTAAACAACATGATGAGCTAAGAAATGAAGCACTAGACAAAGCTGACACAGCTACCTGGTGACAGGCAGACCACCATGACTGTGTGGACAGCACATGACCAACTCTCTGCTGGTCAGTCTCTGTGGGTTTTGTGGCCAGTGGTCATTCAACCCAGTATACATTAATCTACCTTAATTCACTATTTATGTTCATTGGCTTAACTTTTACATGACCTGTATTATTTAACTCTAACACCACTAATGATCATTATAATCTAGACAAGCACAGTTTCACTTCACTATTGTTTAAAGTATAACACAATGTTAAGTTACACAACACAATATAAATTACTTGCTTTTTAATGCATATGGTGCCCACCCCAACATCAAGGCCTTTTACTTCATACCTTCATTGTTACCTTGTTTATTGTGTTTTTTCAGCCATTCTATGTTCTTCCTGATTGCTTCCAAATATGCCTCAGATTTCCCTGGAGGAAAGGATGAGAGAGAAATCAGGCACTTACATCAATGATTGATGCAGCTTGCTTAACTGAGTGAAGTTGGTCACAGCAAAGGCAGATTAAAACTATTCTTAGTTTCTCTTTAAAACCTGAGTCCTGTCAAACTCAGTCAGGCAGAATTCCCACAGATGGTTAGCAGGTGTTGCCTGTGCAAGATTAGTCATACACAAACTTAGGATCATGGCTTTTTTTGATCTTTATACGTAACTTTTGGTGGCATCCACAGAAACTGCATATGTGGATTAAAAACAGCCTGGAGCTTTTTGATCATCATAACTGGTCAGCAAAGAAAAAGCTGTTGAGATAGCAAGGAATGACTTAATTAGGGCTGAGAGCTTTCAGTATCAAAACTCCTCCATATAGTAGTACTAGCAGCACACAGCAAGCCTAAAATTGTGATTTTTGGAAAGGCAATTTGAAATATAGTTACTATATATACTGAGAAAAAGGATGTATTAAAATTACCATTATAACTCCTTGTTATAGCTGAAATTTAAATTGATGGCTATTTTTGGACCAGAAAGCATACAGGACAGAATTAGTACAAGGATTACCTAATAAGGCCCCTAAGGAAATATTCCAGCTAATGGATTTTGAATTCTTAACTTGGCTGGAGCTTTATTGATGTAATGTTCTTACGTTTGTCAGGAAAAAAAACCTAGTGTAATTAGTGAATAGAAGATTACTACTGCCAATTATGCATGTCTGCTCCTGTTAGTAAGTGGATACAGTATTAGATACACCCTATCTTTGAGCAGGGAGTGCAGTAACTTTACAGTAAGTTACTCTGTGAAAGAGCAAGGGCATTGAGACATGATGAGACAAAGAACTAAATACTGATCCAATTTAAATTTCTAAAGAGCTATTGGGCTGAAGATAAAGGAAAATAATCTGAACCAAACTGAAAAGACCAATCTTCAAGAGGTGAGCAAAATGTGTTATTTATCACTCACTTCCCATGGGTATTGTGATAACTTTTCTGTGAAATCGGACAGCCATCTTGAGCTATTTTCCTCTTCCATGTTGAAATAAATAAGCTGCTGGAAAAAATGCCACCTTCCCTCTGTGAGTGTCTGCACTGCCCACAGAGCTCAGCCAGGTGACCAATCGACTACAATCTACTGCAGTGCTGATTTCTGCAATTCATTACTGAGCAGCCTGAGTGACAAAACTGCATTCCAAAAAGTATGAGTATCAGGCAGCACTGGTGCAAAAGAAGCAATTTGGTTTAACAAACTGATTACAAAACATATATATATATATAATTATGCTGGGCCCTTTGCAATAAGAACTCACTGAAAGGTTTCTGCAGCAACAAACATTCTCTTTCAAGAGTTTAGAACAGTAAAGGAGGCATGATGTCCACTGCAGATTTGTTTTCAGATAGAGTAGCTGATTTGCACCCAGGTGACTTCAGCCAGCACAGTGTAATTTAGCATGTGGCATTATTTGTCATGCTGAGGCATGACAAAAATAACTGCACTACCGTGCTACGTTTGCTTAGGGAGACATTAACTTACTGTAATGTTTTCAAAGTTATGTTTAGGTTAATTACTGATAACCTTTAACCTCTAGCAGTGGGAAATGCAAATTGTGTCACTGCACAACTCTTCACTGCCTTTCAGTACCAGCTTGTTCTAACACAAACTATAGAAATCAATGGGCCCGCTCAGATACTGAATATTCTGGCCATCCAATTTCACTGAAAAGCCACAGATGCAAAGAAGCAAAATCTCTCTGCACTACTGCCTCAAACTGTATTTCCTATTGTTCTAAAAGGGTCTGTGAATTCTGTGAATGTCTGCTCAGCAAGGGATGTAGGGTTTTATGTTTAAAACTTGGCAGGTAAGTACACTTCTGAATCAAACTGTTGTGTGCTGACTCCCAGTGACTATAGACTGAAGACACTTATGCTAACACCATGGAGAATCAATACCAAAGAGAGGAAAAGACTCCAATCCCTTGCAGCACACATAGTAGGAAAAGCAATATTCTGTACCTCCAGATTCTTCACTGTTTCCTGCTGCATTTTGTCCTTCATTTTTTGTAGAATCCTTTGAAACCTCATATTCCTTTTCCATTTTAGCTGCTTCTTCCTTCGTACTGTCTGCTTCTTCACTACTCTTGTCTAAAAAATTAACAAAAGCAAAAAATTTTGTATCAAATGTACCAGGAGCATTTCTCAATCACATCAATACAATCTTGGCAAGTAAAGCATTTTGACTGCTGTTTGAGGAAGAGCCTCATTGGAGCCTGTCTCAAAGTGGTTTCTAAAGGTCATCTCAACTCTAGACCTCTGGAAAGATGAATGCCTGTTTCTGCTCTCACAAACAATAGCTGAATGCAGGTGACTGCAATGCAAAGGCACATTTCTTTGTGCAGAGAAAAATTCTATGAAATTTGCATTTGCTGCATTCAAAGTTGACAAATAATGCTTTTTCATTATTATTTTAGTATTAACAAGCACTGATACAGCTTGCTTTTGTATATGTGTAGTGTCTGGACTCCAGTGAAGAAAAAGAGAGTGAATATACTTTTCAAAGACTGGACAATTAAGTGAAAATTTCTCTCTTGTTGTGTGCTTAGACAAACAAGCTATGGCTTGGTACAGGTCCTTGAGAGACTGTGGCTTTAACAAACAGTCTGGCTGCTAAAGCAATTAGCATACTTTTAAGTGAATAGGTTGAAAAAAAGTGTTATTCCAGGAACGAAAATGGTAGAGTAAGTACCTGCTGTTAGTTTTGTCCTGGTTTTAGTGGAAGGGTTCTCAAGCTTCTTCTTTGTCTGCTCAGCTATCATTGTATCTAAGTTTTCTAGAAATCAAGGCAAAACAAAACCAAATCCCAGTTATTCTTCAATGGATAAGATGCAGAACCCATACTAAATTCTCCCCAACACCAGTTTGAATGGTAAGTAGAAATCTAAAAGGACAGCCTTCATCCTTGCCCCTGAACAATTAATGCAGAGCCAATGCTAAAAGAACAAATAGCTATATGGACTATTGACCAACCTTATTTAAAAAAAAAATTAACAACTGAATCATGACAATAAGAGTATCAAATAGTGCCAACGTGCATAAAGTCAGTAAAAGTATGCATAATATTCCATATTTCAGTCACGTAATCACAAAATACAGATTACTATCTATAGCAATTTATTCTGATGAAAGCAATGAAAGGCTTTAATTAACTTCACAAAAAATACAAGACCATGAAATATGTGCCTCATCCTGGTGGGAAAGCACTGTCCCAAACTTCCTATGTGTCTCGATTTTATATGGTTGCATTAGAAAAAGGTCTAGTAAAAGGTTTTAAATTATATGTAGATGAAATAAACATGTAAATTGAAGAGATTAAAACCAATACTTTCTAAAGTTGCTGAAGTCAAGCATTTACCTGAAAACCAACTAGACAGCTATAGCCAGGTATACAGCTCTAGAAGACTAGAAAATGTATTTCTATGCAAATTTTAGAGCTGAATTAATCTAATTTGAAAGTAAAAGCACCTCTTCATAAAAGTGGATGTTTCAGATATAAACATTTTATGCTTATGTGGGAAAAAAGTCCTTCTGATACCCCACTTGGTAGATATTCAAAATATAGATCACCATACAACCTGCCATGTTTCCTCAGTCATATTATGGACATGGTATAGAATTTTCCTTCCTTTTATCATCTTTTTAAAGGTTCAGTTAAACATAGATTCAAAATTTCATACATACTATCTTTTTGGTAGGTATTTTTGAGAGACTTAGTTTTGAAATATGTCAAAATTCCTTTTATATAAACAGCTGAAATATTCAGTGTGCAATATGCAATTGTGAGAACTGTGGCAGAATAGATATAATAAGGCTAATAATATTTAAAATCATATTTTCTGTTTAAGGCCAGTATTTTATTCAACAGCTGGGAGCACTTTTTTCCATTAGAAAGATACTCTGCACTGGAACCTAAGGAGTAATTTTTCAGCAAGCATTTTTCTCTTTGTTGCAGATCACGCAATTGTGCCTCCCATCTGATGAGAAATCATATAATCCTGTCTGCCTGCATCCTCTATATTTTGTTATTTACATAAAATTAAAATGTAAGCAGTATTTGTTGGCACCCTGCCTGATTGCACCCTCTCAATTCTACATCACATCATGGGTTTTTTGTGAATATTTTCATTTGGTACATATTCCTTTAATGTGATTTCTGACCTTGCCCTATATACCCTAAACAAAACAGGTCTGGGCTGTGTTACAAGCTGGATCAGACATCCTGCTGAAATAAAAAACAAGCTAGAATTATAGTGGTGGTATTGATGCCTCACTAATCACTTGATCCAAAGCTTATTGAAAGGACCATAAACATCCTTTTCAGTTCATCTTAAGATTCCATTTTTCATCCTGAATCAGTACCATACTAGTATTTCAACAGGAATATAAGGATTTCTCTGTTGCAAGAGGCACAGTTTTCAGGATAAGATAACTCAGTTAAGAGCTTTGTAAACTCAAGTGAATAGATTATTCTCCTTCACTAATTAATGCAAATGCAAAAATGTCACTGATTTTGAAGCTTAATCCAGCATATGCTATTAAATTTGGCTTAATTTTAACTCTAAACATAGTATTTTAAAGAATAAAAGTATTTAAAATATTACACATATGTAAATGCATTGATTCATAAGTGCCTTTCATGTTCTTCCTCAAAAGTGTCTGCATTTAGGTAATAAGTTTCTATTAGCAGGAAACAAAAAGACTCCACCATGAGATAGATTTATAACCTGCCAAGACATCTTTAGATCTAAATGCCTGACACTGATATTTCCAAAAGTTTTTCTGTCAATAGACTGTAGTGTTTAAAAGTTGTACACATATCCACATACAGCACGTGCTACTGCAGGCAACGGGATTTATACTCCATTATTTATTCACTTCTATAAATAGCATCAGGAATTGTACAGTTTCTCTGAGTCCTTTGATTTGGGTAAGTTTCATATGAATTCCCTATCACTCCTTTGTGAGTACAGAACTGCTTCTCAGCCCCATGAAGCATAAGAAGGCAATGCTGGCCACTAATGACCTGAGCTTTGCCACTAAAGCCAGACTGAATACAATAACTACTGTGCTCCATTTTCAAAGCTTTGTTTTGTCAGCAGGGATGTGGACCTAACCTAAAACTTGGGAGTTTGGAACTTTCTGTGCTTTCTGACACTGACCCCCAGGAGAACACTGCTTTTTACTTGAGGCCTTGGAGAAAGCTTCCAAATTTGAGTGATGTAGTTAGAATCACTGGTGTGCAGTTAGAATAGAAATGTGTAATTTCACATAGTGAAGGGTTTGGAATTTGGGGTTTTAGAATATAGTAGTAGGTATGGGACAAGATGGACATTCTTGGGCATTTCTGTTTTCTTCTTCCTTCTTCTTCATGCTTTCAGGTAGAAGTTTTTGGCTGGACCCGCAGTGCAGGTCACAGGTATTTGGTTATTGGGTCAAAAGTATAAATAATATAGGTGTTAGCTCTTTATTGGACTGTTTAGCTTTAAAAGACCTTGTAACTAGCTAGATTCACCTCCATTTTGCTCGCTTTTATCTGGTAGCTGTAAGTGCTGCAGAACTCTCTGTACTTTAGATAAGATTTAATAAACTACCAAGTCTAAACAAGAAATTCATCTCCTTCATGTCTTAATCCTGACTCTGAGTGAAGGCAGAAGAAAATGAAGACAAGCCACTAATTAGGTGGTGCAGTTAACTCATTGCAGAAAAACTTATAAGACAGGCTTTTTATCAGGCACTACATTTCATTCAGGAGAAGTAGTGAAGTTACCTTGCCAGCTGGATGGCACATCAGCATGGATCTGAATAGTGACAATTGTATTTCCTGAGTGATAAAGTCCATGTTTGAGGGGCTTGTCTGACCTGCCTACATGTGTACCCTAGAGAGAATATTGCCAGATAATCCCAGTTCTTCCTGAACAGAATTTCTTGTCCTTGCTCCGCTTCAAAATCAATGTTTTAACAGCTGGTATTGTTTCAAACCATGTTTGTCCTTGGCCTGTGTGGCTAGGCCAGGGCTGAGCAGTGTTTGCTCTGGGTTGCACTGATGGAGTGAATCATCTGGAGTGAGCTGTGCCTGGCCAGCAGCTAAGCAACCGCGTGTCCTAGTGCAGGTCTAACAAGGATTGATTACTTTTCCGGTGTCGTTTCCTTAGCAACCTAATTTGCACAGAGGAAGAGCTTAGAAAGGTACTGACCTTTCCACAGAGCTGGCCACTTATTTGAAATGGCACTAATTAAAACAACAGGACAATAACTACTGAGCTAATGGAAGTGACCTACGCCGGTAAATAGGTCAATGCCCTGGCGGCAGCTTTCCGAGGAGAGGATAATCTCATCATCCAGGCAGACACCCCATCACAAGATCTGGTTCCTGCCTTGCCTCACTTTCTAACTTGCTCTTTGATCTACGATGACTCACTGAAGCATTCATGCTGCAGGAGAGCTGCTGTTTTGAGTAGGCTTTCTGAGACATGCTAGGCCCAGTCCTACACACTGATAGATGCTCTTAATTCCACCTGAAAATGCAAATTCCCAGGACTTTTGAAACTCTCAAGTCCTTCAAGTTGGGCATCCAAAAATCTGCATAAAACCAGAATATTTTATCTTTACTCTGGGAGAATGTACTGTGGTAACGCCCTCTAAATCCATGGGAAAAGATGCTACATGGATAACTATTACAAATTAAATTACTTTGTTCTTATTAGAGAGGAAGAAACTAATGTATCCATCTGAGTATTTAATGGAATTGGTAAAGGAAACCTGACATTGACCTTTCTCAATAGACAGATTCAAGGTGTTTCCAGACTCTTGCAAATTTTCCTTTAAAGGGTTTTTTCTTCTGCATAATTGTCCTGTACCTGGGAGGCAATTTCACATTCTATCCTCATCAAATTGACTGAAGCTGAGATTCTATGTCATTGAATTTCCACAGAAAGACCTGCTCTGCTGTTCTGTTTTCATACAGCATTAAAAGACTGTGTTTATTAAAGGAGAAAAGGGATCATCAAGGTACCTGAGATAATTTTTAACGCTAGCTAAAAAATTAGTTTACTTAATGAGTTCATACTGCTAGCCCCAACTGCTACAGCTGGAAAGCTTTGTGCTGATGCCTGCTTGTGCGAGATGTACATATTTCAGGCATTAAAAAAACATGGTTCTTCTAGGGCTTTTCTGTCCCCTGCAGTAGATGATCCTTAAGAGTTTGCAAGGCCATTTTCCATCTGTGAAAGATCTCTGGACATCTCAGCATTTGCTTGGGACTATTCTACATTAAGAGCATATCTGATTAATTGTTTGGACAAATGCATGTCCAAGAACTGTCAATATCCATTGGATTTTCCCCAATGTAGCCAAAAGCAGAGTTTGACCTTTGGTCAGCTATAGCTGTATGAAGCATATGTCACATAAACTACTAAAACTGTGATGAACAAGAGAAATCCCTCCATTGTGGAATTACAGTTGGGTCTCAGCCTTGCAAATCTCCTGCTGCTCTCTAACTTCCTGCCTTACGTGTCAAGATATGGAATTTTCTTTCTGAATTTTCCTGTTTGACTGATATGTCATGATGGAGTGTCTGAAGGCCAATGCTGCCATGAGGAGTGATGTGTCAGGTGACAAATGCCAGGTCATGGCATCACTTGTAATGGGATTACAGGTGAGACGTCAGAGTGATTTGAAATTAGGACAGCAACAGTATCACTTGGCAATCAGGTTAAAAGCAACTCCAAAAGTAAAACACAATTAAATAGATGTGCTTTGAGGTAAACATAGCTC